GCATTACGCTCTGCCATATGATATAAAAAATAAAAAGCAGATCCTTAGATTTATGCTCTTCTTCCTGTAGGAAGTAAGAGGAACAGAAGCTCAATTCATCGGCAGTGCTTTCTTCTGAATATTACGTTTTAGGCTTGGCATTTTCAGCCAATAAAATATTACTAAGACGGTTGCTAAGAAATTCACTAACATAAAACATTTATTACTAGGACCATTGTCCTTGATCCTGGGATTATGTTTAAGTGCTTTCAATTAAAAACCTCTGATTTGTGGCTAGACAATTCTTTTCCTCTTTTCACAGCCCTCTACCATGTCTGGGTATCCGTAGCCTACACATTGGCCACAGATTGACCATAGCCTATTTCTAAGACTAAAGATTCTAATGTGATGTTATTAGACTTGAACTTAATCAGATTAGATATTGTAGAATGAAATCTTTAAAAAAACATATTAATTTTACTTCTCAAATCTTTTGCAAAATTTTTATGAGAGAGACCCATGGAGCTTGGAAAATTCTCTACGAAGCTGCTCTTAGCAAAGTCTTAGCAAACAAACTTTTTTTTTTTTTTGCCATTTTTAGAGCCTATCTTTTAAGCCTCAATTTGCTATTCTTCTCTGCAGTTTTCTACCCCTCTGGGATCTCTGACTCTCCTCCACCTTGGATCTCTCACTACTTCTTTCATCTCACTTTGATGGTTGTTTGGATATCCTTGTGGTGTGTTCTCGTGGTTTCATGAATTGTTCCTGACTAAAGCATAAGCTCTGTTAAAGTGGTTGGTGTCTGTGTTTTGGTATTGTCCCTAACACGACAAGTCTATAGGTGCTCAGTTAAATTAAGTACACTACTTTGTTTGGAAATCTATCAAGAGGCTGAAGTTATGCTTTCTACATTGAGCTGAAGAGTTAGCTGCAGACACCTGACTGGTCTGAGTCAAAAGTCCTGGGTTTGTATCTCTGCACTATTGCTTAAATAACCCATGATTTTTAACATATGTGTCTTTATCAGTGGTTTCTTCATCCCTAAAATCCCTTTTAGTGCAGATGTTCGAAGTCAGCTTGACTGATCTATAGCAGTGGTTCTCAAAGTGTGGTCCTTGATCAAGAACACCAGCATGACCCAGAACTGTTAAAAATGCAAGTTATCAGACCCCACCCCAGACCTACTGAATCAGAAACTCTGCACTTTAACAAATCTTCCAGGTGATTCTGCTGTGCACTAAAGTTTAAGTATGACTGATTTGCAGTATAGTCAAATCCCTGGTATGATGAGAAGCTCCGTACTACAATCTTAATGAACATTGAGGATTGTGCCATCATTTCATGGTTGGTGTGTAAATCCATTATGTCATGTTTCATCTTTAAGACTCTGCAGAATGGCTCACTTTTGTGTCATATTCAAGTCTGCAAGGTACTATCCACAGAATTGTAGCTCTCAGGCTCCTATAAAGTGTTGGCAATTGAGGAGTGAAAAATCTTTCTTAGGGTGAACAAAGAATATGCAGTGGACAAGGGATTAATTTTCAGCAGCAGCAGCCTCCTAATTCTGTATTCATAACGTTGCATGTATGCTAGGCTACACATGCAACATCTGCTGATATACATTAGGTAATTGGGCATCCAGCAGCCCCATTTGTATGCAAAGGTGGTTGCACACCTCCATTTACAAGTCTAAAATTAAAGCCCAGTTTGAAGCTGGCTGAAGGCTTGCTGCTAGGAACAGAAATAGATAAGGAAGAAATGGCTTCTGTTAATCAGCGCTTTTGGCCTCTCCTGTTCAATCTTAGCTAATTTGTCCTTTGAAATTGTACATTCTGTGTTGGATAGAGAGACTTCTAAGATTATCTGTTTTTGTTGTTTTTCTTTAAAGAAAACCTACATTTATAAACTGGTTGTGTTTACACATAGCATTTTCCCTAACACTGTAACCACATGTATGCTACAGTCTGTTGCTGAGCTATATTTTTGCTATATGAACTACTCATGCCCTTGTGGAACCACATGGATCATCTCAAAGAAGAGACACCCAGCACAGACTCACAGATTGGGTGTTGGCATAATTTCATTTTAATTCAGCCCACATCCGTCAAGTAGCTACATTGTATTAGCGTTTTGCCAGAGGCTGGGCATAAACATATCAATCAAGCAGTTTCTGCCCTCAAAAGCTCACAATATTTTAACATCTTCTTGATATCCCAGAGTTGAATATTTTTGCATAAATGAAGTCTTCTCTGATAATCTCATGAATTGAAGTGACTCCTTACTTCTCTGAGCTCCTGATTATGCTCAACCAGTGTCCCAAGAAGAATGAGGGATCCATGCCTGAAAGACTCAGAGCTCAAGCACAAGACTGTGGTCAATGACCACTGAGATGGGTCATCAAGAAGAGATGGCTGCACTAATTCACACCCTTATGTTCATTACAATGTTATTTACAGTAGCCAAGATTTGGAAGCAGTCCAAGTGCACATTAGAGGATGAGTGGGTAAAAAAGCTGTTGTACATTTACACAGTGGAATGCTACTCGGCAGTAAAAAAGAAGGAAATCTTACCTTTTGCAACAGCATGGATGGACCTGGAGAGTATTATGCTAAGCAAAATAAGCCAGTCACAGAAAGACAAGTACCATATGATTTCACTTATATGTGAAATCTAATGAATAAAACATACTAACAACAAACTAGTAACAGGCTTATAGATACATAGAACAGACAGACAGCTGTCAGAGGGGAGTTGAGTTGAAGGGCTCAGGAAAAAAGGTGAAGGGATTAAGCAAAAATTAAAAATGAAAAAAAACCCTCATAGACACAGACAACAATATGGTGATTACCAGAGGGAAAGGGGGTGAGGAGTGGTAGAAGATGATAAAGAGGGGGGATAAATGATGATAAAAGGAGACTTGACTTGGGGTGGTGAACACAATACAATATACAAATGGTGTATTATAGGATTGTACACTTGAAACCTATATAATTTTATTAACCAATGTCACCCCAATCTAATCTAATAAAAGAGAAACATGCAAATTGACCGCACCTCCGCTAAGCCCCAAGCCATGCCCACCAGCCAATCAGAGCAACTATATGCAAATTAACCCAACCAAGATGGCGGCCAGCAGCCACGGAGCTGGAGCAAACAGGAGGCTTGCTTGCCCCGGCGATGGAGGAAGCCAAGCCTCCCTCCTGCCCTGGTAGCTGCAGCCTCCGCTCAAGGCAACAAAGTTTCAATTATAGAAGATAAATAAATCCCAGATGCCTGCTTTTAGCCAGCCTCCACTGGCAGCTTGGGTGGCTGGGGGCTGTGGCCAGCCTGCAAACGGCCATCAGCCCCTCACCCAGGATGGCCACACCCTCATAGGGTGAGGGTCCCTGCTGGGGGGCTTGGCCAGCCTGCAAACAGCCATCAGCCCCTCAACCAGGCTGGTCACACCCTCATGGGGTGAGGGTCCCCGCTGGGGGGCTAAGCCAGCCTGCAAATGGCCCTCAGTCCCTCACACAGGATGGCCAGGCACCCCAGTGGGTACCCCCACCCTGAAGGGTCTGTGGCCAGCCTGCAAACAGCCATCAGCCCCTCACCCAAGCTGGCCAGGCACCCCAGCGGGGACCCACACCCTGAAGGGGCTGTGGCCAGCCTGCAAACAGCCATCAGCCCCTCACTCAGGCTGGCCAGGCACCCCAGCAGGGACCCCCACCCTGAAGGGGTGTGGCCAGCCTGAAAATGGCCCTCAACCCTTCACCCAGGCTGGCCAGGCAACCCAGCGGGACCCCCACCCTGATCCGGGACACCCTTTAGGGCAAACAAGCCGGCCCCCACCCATGCACCAGCCCTCTATCCTATATAATAAAAGGGTAATATGCAAATTGACCCTAACAGCAGAA